GACACAATACTCCAGATGTGGTCGAACCAGGGTTTTGTATAGCTGGAGCATAATTTCACGGCTCTTGAACTCAATCCCTCTATTAATGAAAGCTAACACACCATGCGCCTTCTTAATAACTGTATCCACTTGGGTGGCAGCTTTCAGGGAACTGTGGGCATGAACCCCAAGATCCCTCTGCTCCTCCACACTGCCAAGAATCTTTCCGTTAATCCTGTATTCTGCTTTCAAGTTTCTCGTTCCAAAATGAATCACCTCACACTTTTCAGGGTTAAACTCCATCTGCCACTTCTCAGCCCAGCTCTGCATCCTATCAATGTCCCTTTGTAATCTAGAACAGCCCTCTGCACTATCCACAACTCGACCCACCTTCGTATCGTCCGCGAACTTCCTAATCCAGCCTTCCACTCCTACATCCAAATCATTTGCAAAAGTCACAAATAGAAGAGGACCCAGAACTGATACTTATGGTACACCACTCGTAACTGAGCACCATGTTGAATACTTTCCGTCCACTACCACCCTTTGTCTTCTAAGGGTCAGCTAATTCTGAATCCAATCTGCCACATTTCCCCCATCCCATGCCTCCTTATTTTCTGCATGAGCCTACCATGGGGAACCTTATCAAATGCCTTACTTAAATCCATGTATACCACACCCACTGCTCTACCTTCATCCATGTGTTTGGTCACCTCTTCAAAGAATTCAATAAGGTTTGTGAGGCATGATCTACCCCTCATAAATCCATGCTGATTATCATGAATCAACTGTGCCTATCCAAGTGATCATAAATCCTATCTCTCGGGGCCCTTTCCAATAATTTGTCCACCACTGAAGTAAGACTAACTGGCCTGTAATTTTCCGGGGTTATCCCTATTCCCTTTTTTGAAGAAGGGAATGACGTTTACCACTCTCCAGTCTTCCGGCACTATACCCGTGGACAGTGAGGATGAAAAGATGATCGGCAAAAGCCCTGCGATCTCTTCCCTCGCTTCCCATAGAATCCTTGGATAAATCCCATCAGGCCTTGGTAGATTTATCTATCTTCAAGTTCCTCAAAATGCCTAGTACATCTTCCTTACTAACATTCACCTCCTCTAGCCTACCAGCCCGTTTCACACTGTCCTCCCCTACAATTAGGTCCCTCTATGAAACTCATCAAAATTAACACAGCTGATTTCTGCTACTGTTCAGCCCCTTAGACTTTTTTGTCTCCAAGAAATCACATGATAAAACCTCTTCAAATCAGAAGTATCCAACAGTTTATTTTCCAATTTCTCATAGTCTATTTATGTTTTATGTGAACCATGACAATTTAGACAATGGCCCAGCTGCATGAAACTTGCAGAAGGTTAGGACATTGCCTGTTCTCGAAATGCGGTTGGCCAGGTTGGGAATACCAGATACGTGTTCATAACTCAATCCAACCCACACCTTCAAAAGGCACAGATGACAATCAGGAGCCATTGGAATAGTGTGTGTAATCCTGAAATTGGGACCCACACACCAATTTCAAAGGGCTTTCAAATTCTAGTTCGGTGAAAACCCAAGACAGATCAAAGGTGGTCACAGTGGTCTGGGTGTGGTCTAGCCAAGCTCTATATAATTATGGTAAGACTTATTTTGTAGTCCAGCCCCTTTGCAATCTTTGCTGTGAGCACATGAGAATTCGTGTCTCTATCCAATTGACTTTCTGTGTCCCAGCCATTCAAAAGTCAGTGAGGCCACCACCACTTGCAACAGGTTGTCACACTGCTGTTAAAAGCCTAGAAATCAAATTATATTGTAGTTGTGTGCTTTTGAAAAGTATTCCCTAATGCATAACTGCCATTTTGACCTGCACAACCTCTTTCACCACCAGCTGTCATCCAACGCCCAGCAGCTATCCAGCACATTAATATATTAGCATCAATCACTGCCCAATCCATGGCCTTCTGTTGGATCATCTACGGTATTGTGAGCATGGATGCTGGTGTTTTGCTTTAATGCAACTCTGTCTTGACAGACACTGTGGAAATAGTGATATAGAGTTATTACATTCCTGTGTCATTGCTGCATCAATTGCTTGCGCTTTCCCAAAGAAATGGCAGTTGGTCACAGAAAAGAGAACAGAAAATGGGGTGGGTGCATAAGTGTTTGGAGAACTTGCATAACTGACTCAATTAGAATAGATCTCCTGTAAGTGTATACTGTTTGGCATATGTTTCATTCTCTTTACCATTAGATGCTTTTCAAAGTTTGTTAGCTACACTGTAAAAAACATGTATTTTTTGTATTTTTCTGAAATTGTTGAGTGAAACGAGAACTGTTTTGAAACCTGTGTTTGAAAGGGTGGCTGTACGTTATGAAAGCAAGTAACCTAGCACCTTACCTGAGGAAGGATGTTCTGGCTATGGAGGGAATGCAGCAAAGACTGATTCCTGAGATGGCAGGACTAATGTATGGAAGAGAGTCTGAATCAGATAGAGAGTAGAATCATTGTGTAATACAGCATGGAAACAAGCCCTTTGGCCTAAACTGGTCCATGCTGACCATGGTGCCCACTCAGCTAGTTCCAATTGCCTACATTTGGTCCATATCCCTCTAAACCCTTCCCATCCATATACCTATCCAAATGTTTTTTTAAATGTTGCTATTGTACTTGCCTCAACCACTTTCTCTGGCAGCCCATTCCTTATACACACCACTCTCTGTGTGAAGAAGTTGCTCCTCAGGTCCTCCTTAAATCTTTCCCCTCTCACCTTAAACCTATGCCCTCTAGTTTTCAATTCCGCATCCCTGGGAAAAAGATTGTATGCATTCATCCTATCTATGCCCCTCATGATTTATACACCTCAATAAGGTCACCCCTCATTCTCCTAAGGAATAAAGTCCTATTCTGGCTAACCTCTCCCTATAACTCAAGCCTACTAGTCCTGGCAACATCCTCATAAATCTTCTTTTCACACTTTCCAGTTTAACTATATCTTTCTTATAACAGGGTGACCAAGACTGTGCACAATAGTCCGAGTGCAGTCTCACCATCGATTTATACAGCTGTAGCCTAACATTACTCAGTGCCTTGACAGATGAAGGCCAGCACGCTAAATGGTTTTTTTAACTACCCTGTCTACCTGTGACGCCGCTTTCAACGAACTATGTACTTATACTCCTAAGTCCCACTGGTCCAAAACACTCCTCAGGACCTTACTATTTACTGTATAAGTCCTACAAGGATAGGATTACATTGCTTGCTGCTAAGACGAATGAGAGGGGATCTCGTAGAAATCAGTACAATTCTAACAGGTAAACACAGGGAGAATGTTCCTGATATTTGGGGAGTCTAGAATCTGAGGTCATAATTTAATGATACGGGCTAGGATGTTCAGGACTAAGATGAGGAAAGATTTCTTCATTCAGAGAGTGGTGAGCCTGTGGAGTTCTCTGCCATGGAAAGTGGTTGAGGTCAAAATATTGAAGGAGTTAGCTATACCTCCTAGGGCAGAAAGGATCATAGAATATGGGGAGAAAGGTGACTGAGTTAGATGATCAACCATGATCATATTGAGTATTGAAGCATGCTTGAAGGACCGAATGGTCTACTCCTGCACCCATTTTCTATGTTTCTATGTATTCTGCCCTTGCCAGGCATTGTATAAACAACTGTTTGAACAATCAGTAATTGAAGTCTGAGTTGTAGATGATTTAGAGTGAAGGGGCTGTACAGATGCAGCTCTAGTTGGCAATAGGAAGTTGATTGGTCTCTGGACCAGTTATCTAATGACAGAAACCATTTGCCTGCAAACAACTGTGTGATTGGTTCTCAGGTAACTGTACAGCTTGGAGTTTGGAACAAGTTACAGAGAAAGACAAGAATTGAGATTTTCCCCAGCTCAGGAGCAGACGCTCTGTTCTCTGCAGTCAAAACTAACTTTAAATTTGAAGAAATATGGTTTATCTTTCCTGCACCAGTTGTTGTAAACTGTGATGTTTAACTAATAAGTCAGGGACCTTTAGAAGTGAAGTAGCCCACCTCAGTCACTTACCAACTAGTGGAAGCTTTTGAAGCAATGTGCTGGTCAGCAATAGAGTCATAAAGATCATCTCAGCAATAGATCCAGGAAGGACTGCTGAAGCGACTTTCTAGCTTTTACTCTCTATAATCTGTTTTACCTGTTTGTTTCTGTGTAAGGATGAGTTTATAAGGGGTTATAATTTTAATTAGTAGTGCTTATGCCACTAGTTTATAAGTGTCTACCTGTAGTTACTTGTAAGAAATAGTAATTCTTGTTCAGCACAGAAACTTGCTCTGTGCTTTCTATGAACTTGGGTGTGAAAATCAGGTAAGTTGGGGAACTTTGAGGACTTTATAAAATCTGTAATTTTTATGATGATTCCAGGAATAACAGGGCTTGATTTGCAGGATGCTACCCCAGTGAGTTGTAAAAGCACTTACTGAGTGAAACAAAGAAAGGAAATCCCCTCTTCAAACAAAAAAAATGACTGACTGTTTCAGTTATGCATTATTTGCTTCTGATCATCTACTTCTGCTCCTAATTTGTATGTTCATATTTGTATATATTCCATTTTCCTTGCGTCAACTGACATTGTGCTGTAACTAAATACTGCATGGAGGCCCAGGTTGTCTTGTCCATTGAATATTTTCCTTCTGTGGGGTAGGTCACTAAGAATCCACTTCATAACTTCTCAGCATGGAATCTCCATCATATATATAATCAGACATGAGTATGCAGCCTAGCACTCTATATGTTGAATGTGCCAATGTCATTTCATCAAGTTATACTTTTGCATATAGGTTTCAATTGAATGATTTGTTATATGACTTTATATCACCATTTATGCATCTAAGAGAGCAAAATTGGCTTTATAATCAATAACAGTGACTAGTTTTTTTTTTATTTGTGGCATCCAGTCACGTCTTTTTTGAATGCTTATATTTCAAGCAAAATGGAGTAATAACAAAATATGATTCTAATATTTGCTTTTGCTTGATTGACCAGTTTAACATATGAATATGAAGATGAAAATGAAGAGAAGTTTGAACTCCTTTACAGATCTGTGCAGAAGGATGTAAGTAACTAAAAAGGGTTAAAAATGTTGATATTTCACCTGCATTCAAATTTCTTTAAAACATTTTTAAGTTTTTACCTGATATGCTGATAGTCATTTGGCCATTGTTTGTTATTTAGGAACTGAGAATTTGGGTGGTTGATCCTGAAAAAGCAGTTTCTGCAGAGCTGAATAAAAAAGCTGAAAAGCCTTCTCCTGTAAGAACATCATATATTATCTATTGTTGTACAATTTTTACATGAATTTATTTTCCTGAAAAATGTTACAGCCCTTGATACATGTAATATCTATTTAAAGTTTTTTTTAGAAAAATCACTTAATGAAAGAAACATTCAAACTCAGGGACGTTCATATTTAAAGATTGAAGTTTCCACTTGTATGACCTTGGCTTCTTCCTTCTGCCACTCCATCATTAGGTTGTGTGTACGTCTGACCTCAATCCAGCTGTAATTATTTTCCTATTGCTTCATTTTTTTTACCCTTGTGTTAATTGTACCAGGAAAGAAAGATTGCAGTTTTCCTGCATCTTACTGATCACATTCCACTTATTGGTCACTTTGGTTTTCTCAAAACAGAAGATCCTAAAAGCAGAAATACTCAGCAGATCAGGCAGCATATGTAGAGATGGAATGAGAGTTAATGAATGGAATTTTCCTTCCACTGTAGTGTGCAGGCCGGGGACTGGGTGGGGAACACATTGGGAAAATAAAGGTGAAGCCATATCAGACTGGCTTCCCAACATATCCTTGTTACCAGGGACTTCCCTAGTGGTAGCTTGGGAATAGGGTCAACTGACTGCTGCATGGAGTTTTGGGCAACTAATTATGTTTGTTAAGCTCTCATTTGGTAATTTTATGGCATTTCTGATATCTTTGTGCTGATGAGGCAGCTCCCTCACCAAATGCCCCATCTTTCATTTCACCCACCATCTAAAGTATAAAGAGGCTGCCAGCCCCTTGGAGGCAGACACCATGCGGAAGAGCAAGTGATCATTTGAGTTGGATGCTTCATGCCTAGAAAGTGGACTGAGTGCAAGAAAGGGGATGATCATGGCCAGGATTAATCCATTGGAAGCATTTACTCTCTGCCCATTCACCAGAAACTGAATTAGCAGGGGGGTGTGGGACCTAACAGTAGTGAGACAAGGTAGAAGGTTGAGGCTAGTACAGAAGTTAAAGAGAGCAAGTTAAATAGACAAGGCAGGCAAGAGTACAGAGAACGGGGGAAGGCTGATGAATAAACAGCACTTAGTTCAATGCCAGAGACCTGACAGATAGGGCAGATGACTTCAGGGAATGGATGGTAACATGGGATTGGGATATCATAGCTATTACAGAAACATGGCTGAGGGAGGGTCAGGACTGGCAGCTCAATGTTCCGGACTACAGATGCTTCAGGAAAGATAGAAGTGGACTCAAGAGGGGAGGAGGCGTGGCATTTTTGCAGTACTTAAGATATTCCTGGGAGATCGTCCAGCAAAGCTATATGGAGAAATAAGAAGGGGGTTATAATTTTAATGGGATTGTACTACAGCACCCCCTGCACCAATAGACAGTGGCAGATTGAGGAGCAAATTTGTAGGGAGCTGTAAGAATAATAGAGTTGTAATAGTAGGGGATTTTAACTTACTGAACATAGACTGGGTTTGCCATAGCTTTAAGGGCTTGGATGGAGAGGAATTTGTTAAGTGTGTTTAAAAGAACTTATTCAATCAATCTATAGATGGCCCAACTAGAGAAAGGGCAAAACTCGACCTTGTCATGGAGCGTAGGGCAAGTGACTGACGTGTTAGTGCGGGAGCACTTTGGGTCTAGTTTTAAAATAGTTATGCAAAAAGATAGGTCTTTTCAAGTTCAAGTTCTGAATTGGGGCAAGGCCAATTTTGATGGTACTGGACAGGAAGTTTCAAAAGGACCAGACTGTTTGCAGGTGAAGGGGCATTTGGCAAATGGGAAGCCTTCGAAAGCAAGGTAACGAGAGTTCAGGGACAAGGAGAGGCTGGATAAGCTGGGACTTTTTTCACTAGAGCATAGGAGGCTGAGAGGTGACCTGATAGGAGTTCATAATATAATGAGAGATATAGATTGAGTTGATGGTAGTTGTATTTTCCCTAAGATGGGGAATTTCAAGACTAGGAGACACATTTTTAAGGTGAGAGGAGAGAGATTTAAAAAAGACATAAGATGCAAATTTTTTACACAGTGGGTGGTTCACGTGTGGAAGGAACTTCTGGATGAAGTGGCGGATGCGGGTACAATTACAACATCTAAAAGACATCTGGATGGATATATGAATAGGAAAGATTTAGACGGATACCGGCCTGGAGCAGGAAGGTGGGACTAGTTTAGTTTGGGATTATGTTCGGCATGGACTGGTTTGGCTGAAGGGTCTGTTTCTGTTCCTGTTAGTGTGAAGGACAAGGCTGATAGGAGTAGGGAACACTGGATGTCTGGAGATATTGAGGCTCTGGTAAAGAAGAATAAGGAGGCATATGTCAGGTAGAGGTAGGTGAGATCAAGTGAATCCCTTGAGAAGTGTAGGGAGTGTAGGAGTACACTTAAGAGGGAAATTAGGAGAGCAAAAAGGAGACATAAGACAGCTTAGGCAAATAAGGTTAAGGAGAATGCAAATAGATTCTACAAATATATTAAGGGCAAGGGATAACTAAGGAGCGAATAGAGCCCCTTAAAGAACAACAAGGCTTTCTACTTGTAGAACTGCAGGAAATGGGTGAGATCCTAAATGAATATTTCATGTCAGTATTTACTGTGGAGAAAGACATGGAAGCTAGATAACATGAGGAAATAAATAGCGATGTCTTAAAAATGAGTCCACGTTAGAGAAAAGGAAGTGCTGGAGGTCTTAAAATGCGTAATGGTAGATTAATCTCTGGACCTGATCAAGTGTAACCCAGGACATTGTGGGAAACTAGGGAAGAAATTGTGGGGCCCCTAGCAGAGTTATTTGTGTCATCAATAGCCACAGGTGAGGTGCCGGAAGACTGGAGGGTGGCTAATGTTGTACCATTATTTAAGAAAGACTGCGAGGAAAAGCTAGGGAACTATAGACTGGTGAGCCTGATGTCAGTGTTGTTGGAGGGCATACTGAGAGACAGGATCTCCAAGCATTTGGAAAGGTAAGGACTGATTATGGATAGTCAGCTTGGCATTGTGCATGGGAAATCATGTCTCACAAATTTGATTGAGTGTTTTGAAGAGGTGACCAAGATGATAGATGAAGACCGAGCGGTAAACGTTGCCTACATAGACTTTAGCAAGGTCTTCGATCAAGGTTCCGCATGGTAGACTGATTTTAAGGTTAGATCATGTGGGATTCAGGGAGATCTAGCCAAGTGGATACAAAATTGGCTTGATGCTAGGAGACAAACGGTGGTGGTAGAAGGTTGTTGTTTAGACTGGAGACTGTGACCAGCCATGTGCCACAAGGATTGGTGCTGGGTCCGCTGTTGTTTGTCATTTATGTAATTGATTTAGATAAGAATATAGGAGGCATAAGACATAAGAGCAGAATTTAGGCCATTCGGCCCATCGAGTCTGCTCCGCCATTCAATCATGGCTGATAAGTTCCTCAACCCCATTCTCCTGCTTTCACCCCATAACCCTTGATCCCCTTGATAATCAAGAACCTATCTATCTCAGTCTTAAATGTACTCAATGCCCTGGCCTCCACAGCCTTCTGTGGCAGTAAACTCCATAGATTCACCACTCTCTGGCTGAAGAAGTTTCTCCTTATCTCTGTTCTAAAAGGTCTTCCCTTTACTCTAAGGCTGTGCCCTTGGGCCCTAGTCTCTCCTACCAATGGAAGCATCTTCCCAATATCCACTCTGTCCAGACCATTCAGTATTCTGAAAGTTTCAATTAGATTCCCCCTCATCCTTCTAACCTCCAATGAGTATAGTCCCAGAGTCCTCAAACGTTCCTCATATGTTAAGCTTTCCATTCTTGGGACCATTCTCGTGAACCTCCTCTGAATCCGCTCAAGGGCCAGTACATCCTTCCTGAGATATGGGGCCCAAAACTGAATGCGATACTCCAAATGTGGCCAGACCAGAGCCTTATAAAGCCTCAATAGTACATCCCTGCTTTTATATTCAAGTCCTCTCGAAATAAATGCCAACATTGCATTTGCCTTCCCGACTACTGACTCAACCTGCAAGTTTACCCTGAGAAAATCCTGGACTAGAACTCCCAAGTCTCTTTGCACTTCAGACTTCTGAATTTCCTCCCCATTTAGAAAATAGTCCATGCTTTTATTCTTCTTACCAAAGTGCATGACCTCACTCTTTCCAACGTTGTACTCCATCTGCCACTTCTTTGCCCACTCTCCTAACCTGTCCAAATCCTTCTGCAGCCTCCCCACCTCCTCAATACTACCTGTCCCTCCACCTATCTTTGTATCATCTGCAAACTTAGTCAGAATGCCCACAGTTCCTTCATCTAGATCATTAATGTATAAAGTGAAAAGTTGTGGTCTCAACACCGGAACACCACTTGTGACTGGCTGCCATCCTGAGAAAGACCCTTTTATCCCCACTCTCTGCATCATTTGCAAATTTGCAGATGACATCAAAATTGGTGGTAAAGTGGACAGTGAAGAAGATTATCTAAGAGTATAACAGGATCTTGATCAACTGGGCCAGTGGGCTGAGGAAAGGCAGATGGAGTTTAATTTAGATAAATGAGAGGAGTTACATGTTGGTAAGACAAACTGGAGCAGGACTTGCACAGTTACTGGTAAGGCCGTGGGGAATGTTGTTGAACAGAGGGACCTAGCGGTGCAGCTACATAGTTCCTTGGAAGTGCTGTCACAGGTAGACATGGTGGCGAAGAAGGCATTTGGTACACTTGCCTTCATCCGTCAGAACATTGAGTACCCAAGTTGGAACCATGTAATGGCTGTATAGGACGTTGATAAGGCCATATTTGGAGCACTGTGTACAATTCTGGTCGCCCTGCTATAGGAGGGATATTATTAAACTGGGAAGGATGCGAAAAAGTTTTACAAGGATGTTACCAAAACCGGGGGATATGAGTTATAAGGAGAGGCCGAATAGGCTGGGAGATTTTCCCCTGGAGCGTAGGAGGCTGAGGGGTATCTTATAGAGTTTATAAAATCATGAGGGGCATATATAAAGGCCACGGCCTTTTCCACAAGGTAAGGGGAGTCCAAAATCAGA